CACTTAGTCACAAACACTGGCCAAAATTAGCGTTCAATTTGTTTTTTTTACTTTTTTCACACACAAACAAATATGAATGCTTACTTTGGCCAGTGTTTTCGACTAAGTGGTTACTAATAAAGACTGGACATACCCATATTGAATATCTTGGGTTGTCTACTTTAAAAAAAAAATAACATGTATGGGGTGTGATGAAATTTACTTGACGAATAATAAGATACACGGTATGTCACTATTGTTAATTTTAAAAATGTATGTTTTGAAGCACTTCAAGCCTCCTACTTGTACCTATAGCCCTATAACATGCAAAAGAAAAACCTTAAAAAAGCAACGTAAACATTGGTGTAAACTCAGGACAAAATTTTGAATCTATTTATAGTTTTTTTCATTCGCTTTTGTAGATGAGTAAGGTACTTGGTAAAAGTCAAAAAACATGTATTTTCAATTTCATCATATTTTTTATTTTTTAAATTAAAATACATGAGATTATATAAATAATGGTATGTAAAGAAAGCCCCTTTTGTCCTGAAAAAAACAATATATAATTTGTATGGGAACAGTAAATGAGAAAGCGGAAAATTACAGCCAAACACAAACACCACAAAAGTGTAAAAATATTCCTGGTCGCAAATGTACAACATCGCAAAAACAGTCCAGTCCTTAAGGGGTTAAAGTAGCATTAACATTAGCTTTAACGGAGAGGGTGCATGCATATCAGTGTCTGCAACCACAGCGACATCAGATGGAGTTAGCTAAGGTATATTTCAATGGTGTGTGCCTTAATTGTGTTATAGCCTGACAAGCTGGGGTCACCACCAGCTCCGACCATTAAAAGGATAATAAAAAGTTAGCCCTTTCCCACGCGTGGGGAGAGTCCCTGTACAATACCCAAGAGGGCTACATAGTCCCAGTGTCCCACTACTGGATGCAGTAATTGAAGTCCGCCCTCATCGTGTCTCCTGGTTGTTGGGTGAGTATGGGCACAGTACCTGTCTTGCCATGTAATGTCCTGCCTCATAGTGGAGTTGGGGCATGGGGATGATGTCACTGGGTGTCCTCCAGGTGCAGGTCATTGGCGCAGGCTTCAGGAGTGTTGGTGAGTTGTGCTCAACCGGATTAGGCCTTGCGCTCGTGTCCTGGGAGTGCCGCTGCAGTTTGTGTATGCCTAGATATGCAGGCTGCTGTGGTGCTTGCGTGTCTTGGAGTCTTTTCTTGGGGTGATTACTGAGGAGGTTGAGAGCCATCAAGGGATCCCTCACAGTGTCAGCTTGGGCTGGGTGAGTTTTGAGCGCCATTTCGGCGTACCTCAAAGGATTTACCTTCTCAGTCTTTGGAACTGCTGCGCCGCCGTCGGCCATTTTAATGTGGCCGCATTGGAGCCATCTGCCTTCGAAGTGCAGCTACACAGGAGAGATGTGAAGGTGCGAGCTTGCCTGATGGGAACTGGGATAACCCCCACCAGTCCCAAGGGGGGGGTAATGGGGCTCTAAGAGGTTTCAGCACGTTTCCAGGGCCCTCTAGATTGGGAGAGCGGCCGTCCCTCCCGCTTCACAGGTCGACTATGCCACACGGTCTCCTCCAGTTCTTTCTGCCTCAATCTTGGCTTCCAACCACTGCCACGTGAGCCCGTCATGCCAGAGCTCCGGTATATGTTCACCAGGTGCAGAACAAAAGCGAAATTTGGCTAAAACCCAGACTAATGTTGGGGCCAGATGAAGAGCTCAAGCAAGGCACGTCTGGTCGCCATGAGTGTCAGGCCCCGCCCCCAAGAACACAGATTTTTAAGTTAATGTTTTGGTACATTTATTGTTCTCTGTTCTTTCATTCCTGATCATGGTTTCCTGAATCTCTGCATTTAATCTACCGCTTAAAAAGTTGGATTACAATTTCATTTCTTTTGATTTTTCCTTTTGGTCGTTAACCCGCAAAAAAATAAATTAAAAAAAGATTTTATGCTTGGATTAATATTGTATGTTCCAGATTACTGCCTCACTATTTTTCGGGGTTACTTGAATTTTGGTTCATATTTCAGATTAATACCCAAAATGAAGCAACAGGTTCCTGGGTTTGGAATTTTATTTTTCTTGTTCTTGCTGTATCACAAGATATTATTGACATATTCAGTTAACTACAGCTGACTTTCGCTAAGTCTTATTGTTTTTGTTTTATTTTAATTTTTTCAAACACCCCTACTACAGTCACCTTTGTCCTCCTCTCCCCACCCCCCCCCACACACACACACATGTTGGTCTTTTTCTTTGTGAATGTTTTTTTTTCCTCATAGGGGTGATTATCCAAGTTTTAATTTCCCTTTCTTCATTTTTTATATCCACCCATCCTTTGACCTTGAGTATTACATTATGTACTATATTATTTGATCTGCTATGTCACACCTCATTTAACAGGAGCCATAATTTTATGAAGTTAAAATTAATACATTTTTACACTTTTGCACCAGAAAAGTCAATAAGTTAAATTTTACCTTATTATCTAATCCAAACAATGTATTTAAAGGGTAACAGGGCCTCAACTATTCTGGCATCTAAACTCAGAAAAGAGAACACTCAGTCTGAAATAGTCTAAAATCTACTAAACGATCGAGGAAATAAGATTGCTCATCCAACCAAAATAAGTAACATGTTTGCTGGGTATTACAGTAAATTATATAACTTAAATTCAAATTTGGACATTGCTCAGTCAACGGAGGAAAAAGTGTATACATTTTTAGATAAAGTGGAATTGCTTCAGATATCCATGGATAAATTGGAAAGCTTTGAATGTGATTTATCGGCTGAAGAGATATCTGAGGCAATTAAACTTATGCCATCTGGTAAAGCCGCAGGTACCGATGGATTCACTATTTTATACTATAAAGCTTTTATCGAGGCTCTTGCCATATATGGTAAAACTGTTTAATTAATTAAAAATTGGAGGGGAGATGCCAAATGAGACACTTTGTGCACAGATAGTTACCGTGCACCAAAAAAGAGTGGATCAGCAGAGTAGAAGACATTCAAGGAGCAGAAGAAGCACATGCTGTTTTGACGGGACGAGGAACTAGGCACGCAGAGATGTGGACGCCGTGGTTCTTATACATCTCCCGCTGCCACGGGGACAGAGACGCGCCGGGGCCCTCTGTTGGGGAACGGGCCGGTGCGGACCTTGCTGGAGGGACCAACACCCCCCTGTAACTTGATTAACCACTATCCCTTACTTCTACCCCTTCTTTCCCCCGTCTACCTGCACGCTGGGACTGGACTCAGGGCCGAATGTGCTAACTGTAGACAAGCAGACGACGCAATGATACTATTGAACGTCAGGGAAGAAAGATGTACATTCGTAGATGATCACGGACCATGCACGTTGCACGGTAAGCCTGGACGCGGTACCCCGGGACACCCTGTGGCCAGGTGGTCCGGCGCTTAGGCGGATAGTTAGCGATGATTAACGGCCGATAGTCCCACACCTCACATCATCACACACGGGTGTTACCACACACACCACTCAGAATCTCGACACTTACCACACGCAAGTTAGCGACAGGGCTTTAGACAACATGGTTGGGATATGGAGATACCCGAACAACGCACGAGCTTTGCCATAGGTAATGGTCCTAGGGACACTCTAGTCTCCAAACGCTTAACTTATACTTTATGTCGAATCAAGCTCCCACCTGTACTAGGTACCCGGAGGCTTATTGTATTAATACGCTGTTACTGTTCTTATTCTGCCTATCCTGCAGTGGGTAGCAGGATAGCGTCCATAAGTGCACTCACGGCTTCAGAATTCTTGATTGGAGTTCCTGCTGAGGTGAGAAAATCACGAGCCCGCCATATAGGGCCAAAATCATGGGCTATACCAAAAGCATAGCGAGAGTCTGTATAAATATTAGCAGTCTTACCAGAAGCCATTTTACACGCTTCAGCGAGTGCCTTCAGCTCTGCCTCCTGTGCAGAGCAGTGAGGAGCGAGTGGTTCAGCTTTTATTACCTCATGTGCAGAGACTACAGCATATCCAGTGTGGAAATTACCCTTTCTCATCAGCATATCTGGAACCATCTACAAAAAACTCAAAATCTGCATTAGATAATGGAGAATCAAATACATGCAAAAAACCTGCTGTCTCTTGTGCCATTAGTGCTGCACAATCATGGGGTACCTGGGCATCAGCTAACTCATCTGGTGAAAGTGAATTTACAAAAAGATCAGAAGTACAACCATTCACACTATCCCCACTCCCCTCTTTTAAATCCAGGGGAAGCAATGTAGATGGATTTAACACCATACACCTTTTAAGAGTAACATTAGGTGGCATAAGCAAGGCACATTGCATTCTGAGATGCCTTGCAGTATGTATGTGTTTTGGTTGAACTTGTGAGAGTATGCTGTTGATATCATGCGGTGTGTATATGGTCACAGGATTATCTAAAACAATATCAGTGGCTTTGTCCAGGAGGGCAGTAACAGCCGCCACTGCCCTAACACATGAGGGGGCACCCCTGGCAACAGGGTCCAATCTGGTGGAGTAGTATGCTATTGGTCTTTGTTTACCACCATGATCCTGTGTAAGGACAGATGTAGCATAACCTGATTGCTCAGTACAGAACAGGTTAAAATTATTTCTGTAATCTGGGAGACCCAGTGCCGGAGCTGACGTTACCAGTATCTTAAGTGTATAGAAGGCATTTTCTGCCGCATGGGTTAATTTAAATGGTTTGTTTTCGTTGGCAAGACAATCATACAGTGGTTGCATGTAGATAGCTACGGAACGCAGCCAAGGGCGGCAGTAAGAAATCAAACCGAGGAAAGTACGAACCTGGGCTAAACTGCGGGGGGGTCTAATATTTTGAACTGCAGTTTTTCTACTTTCCGTGAGATGTTTTATGCCCTGGGAAATGCAATGTCCTAGGAAAATAACTTTCTCTACACATGCTTGCAGTTTCGTTTTTGTTGCTTTACAGCCTGCTTTTTCTAGGAATTTTAGTAAGGAAAGAGTGTTTACAATACAAGATTCCATACTATCGCAACATAGGAGTAGGTAATCGATATACTGCAATAAAATTACGTTATTTGGCCTTTGCCATTCTTCAAGAATCTGGGCCATAGCCATGCTGTACATAGTGGGTGAGTTTTGTGCACCCTGTGGCAATACTGTCCAAGTGTACTGCTTGTGTTTATGTGTAAATGCAAATAAAAACTGACTGTCGGGAGCCAGGGGGACACTGAAAAATGCATTTGCCAAGTCAATAACAGTAAATACCTTAGAGGAAGGTGGTATTTGTGCCAACAAGGTGTGTGGGTTGGGAACATTAGGGGCAATGAGTTCAGTTACAGCATTAATTGCCCTCAAATCATGTACCATACGGTAGACCACAGGTTTCCCTTTCTCTTGCTTTTTCTTAATTGGGTACAATGGTGTGTTACAAGGGGAGGTGGTCTGGACAACTACCCCTGCCTGCAGAAACTCTTGCACAGATTGCGAAATAGCATCTTCCTGTGCTGGGCTTAGGGGGTATTGTTTTTTATAGGGAGGTTTGGCTCCGGGCAGGAGATTCACTTTGACTGGGGGCACAGAGAGTCTGCCTGTATCTGTCTTCCCTGTAGCCCATAAGGAGTCAGGGACTGAGGACAAGTCAATGGTAGGTTCTGGCACATGTCTGGACAAAGTGAGAGTTGCCAGAACATTTGAAAGAGATATCATTTGTTTGTCCTCTAAAGGCACAGACAATGTTACTTTTCCAGTGGGGCTATACTGGATATTTGCACTAAGAGCAGACAGTATATCACTGCCTAGTAGATTAGCAGGGGCATGAGGGCTGACAAGTAGCCTTGTTACAAGGGCAGTAGAGTCGTGTAGCTTCAATTTCAACTTGTGGGTCAGGGGAATGTCATTTTCAATACCATCTACCCCTACACATGATAATACATCATTAGATTTCTCATACGGGAATACATATTTTTCCTGTAACATTGATTTAGCAGCGCCAGTGTCCAACAGGAAAGGGACTATTCGGTCCCCAGGCAGTGTAACATTGATAATGGGTGAGGGTCCTGCAGAGTCAGGGATATTGATGATATGTAGGGACACTGGTTTGCCAATTTCCTATTGGGGGGGGGGGAGGTGGTGGTGGTGGTGGTTGGCTGTCATGGGAGTTATCATTAGAATCTTGGGGTTTTCTATTTTTAGGAGGACACCTGCAGTTACGTTTAATGTGTCCTTTCCTGCCACAATTCCAGCAGTCTACCTGCCTTCTGTCCCCATCAGCTCTAGGGACAGTTACAGCCATTAGAGGTGT